AGCCAGCTGACTGCCACTGGCTGTAGAGAAGCAGGCTAAGCTGATTGCTTCTAACAGGAATTCTTTATGCACAGAGAAGCTCCTTGAGCTAATGCTGATAGTTTTGGTTTCAGAGCAGTCATTACAGCTCTAGCCTCCTTTATTTAAAGCAAAATATTATTGTTTCCAAGGAAAATGGGAAATATGACAACTTTATAAAGCAGATTGCTCTTTTGCTTGCTGAACTGGCTTCACCTGTGAGTCCAGCCTAGTGGGTTTAACTGGCTTTGTGTCACAGATAATCTACATTATATGGGGCCTGACTTGGTATATCTTAAAAAGAATGCTTATTAATCTGTTTATTTAAAGCACAGGCCACTCTGCAAGCTCTTAACAATAGCAGTCCTTTTTTAAGTTGAGGCAGACAAGAAAAATCTCAGCCTAAAAAAAGGACAGCAAGGTGCAAGAGATTTTATTGGGACTTTTAAGTTTAAGAGGAGGAGAAGCCCATAAAAAGCCTTGATATTGATGCTGGATTCCCAGAGATTTCAGTAGTTATTTCTAGTCAAATGTATTAACAGGGAGTTAAAATTGAGAGTTCTTTGTAATATACAGTGAAAACCTAACAGAGTGGTACTTCTAAATTATGCCATTCAGATTTAAAACCAGTTTTAAAGAAATCCATTGTGCACTGTGTGTGGTGATAAAAATGTCATAGATTTTTAATCAATACTTATTAATGTGTAGAATGTTAAGCTGTAGTAATTTTCAAAGCTATACTTGATATATTTTTCTTCATCCTCATTTACTTTGCTGTGTGAAATGGGGACTCCTACATTCATAAAAAAAAAAAAAAGGTGTGAGTAGGACATACCTTTACAGGTATTGATACAAGAATCAGTGTGGGTAAGGAAAAAGCAGTTTTGTTAACAGGTCTGTGTTTGTCCAAGTGTTTGTCCAAAGTGCAAGCTGTGTCTGCTCTTTAGGGATGTTTAATTTCTGAGTGGATCCAGACACAGACTGCAACCCTCAGGTCATTTTACACATTGGAAAGCTGTGGCTGGTTGACATTTTGCCCATCTCTGGATTAAATGTGGGATTTATAGTAATTTTGTAACTGTGAGATCAGCTGTGAGTTAAAATTTGTGTTTACCTATGATAAAAAACTCCTAATCTGTGCATCAATAGGGCCATTTATCAGTATTCAAACACCCTCAGATTAGGAGGAGAGAGGGGGAAGGGTGCCTTGTTCTTGAAAAAGAGTATAAACAAAGCAGTCTTGATGTAAATAACATCAGATGAATCCTTGCCACCCCTGGGGTGAACACCAGGTACTCTGGACGTCGTGGCTGTTGAAACATCCACAAATTTGCTTTCCCAGCCTGGTTGTTTATCTTGTATCTTTTAAATACTAAGATTATCACTACAGGATTAGTAGAATCCATCAGATCTCTGAAAGGGCAGCTTCAAAGCTGGCTGAAACCCCCACTGATGGAAGGGGTGAGGGATGCAGAATGTGGGAGGCATCCACCAGGAAAAAATAATGCCTCAGTGACAAGGATTTACCAGAAGGAACTTGCAATGCTAACTTTGAACTCAATGTCAGTTTTGATGAGTGGGGAGTGGGTGTTACGTGTTTCTAAATGTGAAAACAGTACACATTTAAGAAGAAATACATATATATTATTCATCTCTCCTAAGGGGATACCGGAATCTTTCTTTCAACTTTTAGCCACAGACACACAGTTTCTGGTTTAAGAGGCAGGATTTTCACATTGTGGGGGTTTTTTTTATCTCTCACATCCTCCCCAGCTGATACATTTTCCACTTATTAATTGGGTATTGTGTCCTCAGTTGAGGGAGAGATGTGGGATAGCAAATTAATTATATGAACTATGAACTATGATTCAGGGCCATGTTTCTTGGACTGTTAAGCCTGTTTTGATGAGCATGAAAATCCAGGAACACCTAGCAGAGATTGTTTCCATCCTCTGGAGTAGATTTCCAGCGTGTGAAGGAAAGCAGTGCCTGTATCAGGAGTTTCCTGCTGGTGGGTTAGTGGTGGAGCTGTAAGAAATGTGATCTGGGGTTGACTTTTGGCTGGCCATTAATTATGCTGGACAGGCAGGACTGACATGGAGCTACCTCTCCTTGCTTGACTTCAGCTTTTCAGAGCCTTTTCATGCTTTTAAAAGTTACCTTAACATGCTGGGGGCTTTTGGTAGTGCATTTTTTGTCTTTTCATCAGCATTGCTCATGGAAATAGTTTTAAGTGGGCAGTAGTCTGAGGGGGGCAAATGTCAGGAATTGCAGTGATGGAGGAGGCTGTGGGACAGTAATGTAACAAAAGTAAGTGGATTAAACCATTAATGCCACTAGAGAAAAGGAGATTTGTGTGTCCAGCTGCCTGTGAAGCCAAACAGTTTGTTAGGTGCATATGCAAAAAGGGATTGGATTGAAAAAAGGCAAAATGGGGGAAGATTTTGGAACTTCAGCAGCAGCTCTGGTCAGTGCCACCTTGCAGGGATCTGTGTGGAACAACCCCAGCAATGGCCCAGCATTAATTTAGCATTAATGGAATTCATCAGGGTGTTAAAGGTAAGGCTCTGCAAGCATGAAAACAAGCAGAGAACCGAGGCAGGAGAACTGATGATATTGGCAGAACAGAGAGAAAAAGCAAAGTCAACCCAACAAGCACGAGTGAAAATAGCCCCAGTGATGGGGTGGCACCCTGAAAAGTGGGCTTAGGCAATAATCCATGTGTGGCTGAAAGCAGTGGTGAGGTGATAACAGGGAGCTTAGGCTGCAGAGACTTGGCATCTGGTCCTGGAGCAAATAAACCACAGGGCTGTTGACTCTGGGGCTTAGCTCAGCAGCAGAGAGAGGAGAAGCTGCTGGGTGTGTGACCACATCCAAGGCTGGGATGTTTGTGACTGACAGGATTTGATGCAAGAGTAGTGGATTTGGGATTGGTGATTGATCACTACTGGAGTGGAAAATACAGCTTTTTCTGTATTTCACCGGTTTGTTTAGCATTTAAATGTGTTCTTTTATTGCACGTTGTGCTATCCCTTTCACACTCCCTTTTTAAGCTTGGTTTACAACATGTTTAGGTGGTACCTCCTGAAAATTCAGGTATAATATAGCATATTTCACATTAACAACTGAAATGCTTGCTTGGTGAAGTCATTGAAAATTATTTCCTTTTTTTTTCAATTACCTAGTAAAAATGAGGATATTCTTTCAATGTCAGTGAGAGTTCACATGATGAATCATAAAGATCCATTTAGGACCCCCCCTTGTACTCTATAACAATAGAAGGGCTACAAACTTCATTTTATTTTCTTCATTACTTATTATGTCCCCTTTAAAACTGTTTCTTTATTATAGCCTATCATGTAAATATTATTTGGACTACTTTTAGAGCACACAATACTATAAAACTCCAATTACTTACTTTGACAACTGTTATGCTAGTTATTAATATGCACTTTAAAGCTGAGAGTTCTCCTGCCTGTTTAGTCAGTTTGGTGGTGTTTGTTAAAAAATCATATGAGTGTTCATACAGCATAAAAATGGATTTAAGAGGTTCCTCTGCTCAAGAGCATTAAGCAGTACAAGCTCCACAGAAGGCTTTTGGTGGCCAGTGTTTTTAATAATTGCCTATTAAAGAGTTTCTTGCATCAGCAATGTAGGAAGATATGGAAACAAAGAGGAGCATGTTTGGGTTGGATATGCCAGATTCTTTAAGCTCTGCCCTCAAAATCACAGAGTAACCACTGGGGTTAGAAAGGACGATGTGTTTTAAGGCTGGACACCCTGGAGGAGGAGGAGGTACTGGATTTGTGTTCCCCAAACACCATAACCCATTTCCCAGCCAAACAACATTCCCTTTCTTTCATTTGGAAGCTTAGAGTTTCCATCATAAAGTCTGTGAACTGCAACAGGCCTTTGTGTTAATGTGTTTACCCTGGGGAAACGTGGTAGTGGTGCTTTAAACACTGGATGTGGGAACAGGAGGCTTTCTCAGAGGTAATGTAGGCACACCTTCATGCACCATACCAGGTGAGATGGCACTGCTTCAGGGAAGGTTGTGAAAAGAAGAATAAAGGGTTGGATAAAATAATTTAGTATTTTTGAGGGAGATTTTAAAATTTTCTGTAGCTGTGTGTATATTTTTATTAATAGGCTGCAATGTACCTTTCATCATCATTCAGATGTAACTGAGGGAGGCTTTTAGTGCACAGCAGTGACATTTCCACAGTCTTGACAACAGTTATTCTATTTCCTGGGCTTCCCAGGCAATGGTTTCAACACCATCACACTGCAGTTGTCATGCTTGTGTTTTTACCCATCTTTTCACCCATCTTTTCAGCAACTGTCCAGCCATTGTTGGAAGGATGTTAAATGCTCTGAGTGTGTTCATGTTGGTAAGTTGTTGGTATGCTGTGAAAATGACTAATTTAAGGTACCACTTTGAATTTTACTCTAATTTAAGGTACCGCTTTGAATTTTACTCTGGAGGGAGCCTGATTTCTGCCTTGCCTGTGATCTCCAAATCTTGCCTGTGAAGTTCCCTCTCATTTCATACTCAGGAAGGCACACTCTGTTGGCAGTCTAGGAGTTTTTCATTGGCTTGTTTCCCCCTGAGTGCAGGAGCCCATGAGTTGACATGGGTGCAGCCAAAGTCAGCGCAGGCAGACCTCTTGTGAGAAACTGCAGATCCCCGTGTCCTCATTTTGCCACTGCAGATTTGCATTTGCCATCAAAGTGCATGCTGTGTTTCCTTGTCCACACGACTCCTCACATATGCATGGGGGTTTGGAAACAAAAATAGAGTTGGTATAATGATTAAAAACTAGCAAATTCCTACCTTGTGTCATTGGTTTTGCCCCGGTTTCCCATTGGGGCTGGGATTCCGGTCATAATGAGCTTTCCACGTGACTGTGCTTTATGTACCCAAGCATTCTTTGGTCTCTCACCCTAGCTGTGAAAGTAAAGTCTCTGATTCTGGTTGCTAGAACCCCCCTGATTGCTGCTGGAGTTATTGGTGGCCTCTTCATCATCGTCATCATGGGCTTGACGTTTGCTGTGTACGTTCGGCGCAAGAGCATCAAGAAGAAAAGAGCACTGCGAAGGTTCCTGGAGACTGAGGTGAGCCCAGGCTGCTCCCCACAGGCTGTTTGGGGAGATATGTAGGGCTCTTCTGCTTCTATATTAGAGATGTTCATGTCTTCAGTTGCCAGACAGGCCTGTAGAAATCCTTTTGCTTACTTGTGCAGACTGAGCTGGTGAAAAGAACGAAGTTATTTCAAGATGCTGCACAAGTTTTGTGCACAAGTAGGGATTCATGGCTGCTGAAGACCAGGAAAAGTTCCCCATGAATACTGGGAGGCATGTCCCACCAGATTTTTCCAATTTTTTTTCAATTCCCATCCTGCTCTCCACTGAACTTTTGTCCCAGTTCATCAGTACATTTAGCAGCTCTCATGCTTAAATATTACAGGGTTTCATTCTGGCCCTATTTAGGTTGACTTCTAAGGCTAAAGTGAGTTCCTTCAGCAAGCTGATACAAACTTCATGCTTTAGGGCAGGTGTTGTGACTTTGCTGTTGTTCCCAGTGCCTACAATGCCTTTGTAGTCCAGATTTTGTCAAAGCCTGTAGCGTGATCAGTAATAATCACGTATTTTATTAAGCCAAGATACTTCACAGAGCTTAACCAATTGAAGTTCACAGTTCTACTGGCAAAAAAATATAAAAATAATGTAGCAGATCCATAGCAGAGTGCTGTGACGGCTCCATCCTGCTCTTTGAAGTGTCATTAGTGAAGGGGGCAATCTAGGAAATACATTTAAATATAACATTAAACGTGTACCTATCAACTACTGCAAAGGTGATTACTCCATCTCCTCAGTCCTATACTTGAGACACTTTGCAAATGATGGTATTTTTAAATTAGGGCGCCCCTTTGTAAGACAATAAAGCTGGGAAATGCTGTTAGCTAGTGACTCTTTGATAAGGCATTATTAACAGTGCTGTTTTCTCTTTTGCTCCAAGGCTTCTGCTCCCACTCATCTCCACTGTAGAGCCTGGGAGTAAATGGTTTATGCATCCCCAGTCTGTTTGCACAAGTACCTTCCAGTTTGTGTTGCTTGCTAAACACTGTTCAGCTGTATAGAAAGCTTAACAATACTCAGTGCCTTTAGATGAATAAATCTTGCCATTGTATCAGCCCATACTTAAGCATAAATTATTTTAGGCAGGTGGTTCTCCTTGCATTGGCTTTGAAGTCCAGATTTCATTTTTCATTTGGTCAGATAAAAGCTGTGGCTGGCAATAGTCCTGAGGGACCAGGGCCTCCTACTGAACACATGGGGAAGCTGCTGTCTTGGCTGAGAAACTGAAGATTAAATCAGGAGCATCCTGAAATAAACATAAAAGCAATTAGCTTTAGCTGGAGTCTCTTCCTAGCTGGAGTCTGTAACAAGACTTAGTCTTTCTGTAGATCATTCTCCATAAAACTCCACAATCCTGGTTTTAGACCCCCAAAATACATCCCCAGCTCTCCCTGCCATTGCTGTGCTGGGGGACTGTGGCACAGAACCTCTTTTCATGCTTCACAAACTGAAAATACAGAAATTTTCTTTTACAGTAACCCTTTCTTTCATGGTGTAAATACTGAACATCTAAAATGGGAAGGAGAAAAGAGAAATCACTCAACTTTGTTGCTGTTTGGTTTTGTTGTTTCCTTACCCATTAATTGCCAGTATTTTTACTTGAACAAAACTAATTAGTCTGGTCAACTAATTAGTTAGTCCATGGTGCCCAAAGAGCCATAGAAGTAGTTCTCAAATTACAGAGCATGGGGCATTTAGCCTTGTTAACAGGCTGCTTTGAAATGCTGCAGTGGTTTCAAACCAATTTGAGTAGGAGGAGCCCTGAATTATTTTCCTCATCCTGTGAAAGAACAGAATGTTTTTCATGTCTTGTATTGAGTATTGTCCTCCATGTGTATTTTTAATTTATTTTTAAAGGAGCACTCTTTTCCTGGCAGAGATGGTATGAGATCTAAGAGCATTTTTAACTGAATGTGCCATTGTGGCTCATTTACAAAGTTTCTTGGGACATCTTGAGCAAATTGTTTAATTGCAGTAAATTAGTGGTTGTTATAAATTAGTGGTCTGCTCGAAGGTGTTTTCTCCCTAAAGCTGTCCTCCTGTGTGGTAAAACAGGAGTTCAGAAAAATTGTCCCTTCCTCAAAACAGAGTAAGAATGTGATGAGCCGTTTAGTCCAGGCCATTAAAAAGAAATACGGCCAACTTAAAAGGCACTAAAATGGGCAAAAATGGGATGTGCTACACTGATAATAAATGCTGTATTTCTGTCATGTAGAAAATATTTATACTGCCTCCATTATCAAAAGTCCTTGGATGTGTTACTGTGACACCAATTCAATTTCCAGTTCATAATTCCATCACACAGTTTCTGGTGGGAATCATTGCATTTGAGTGAAGACTTGCTTTATCGGGTGTTGGTTTTGCGGTGATGCCGGTTTGCGTTTGAAGATGAAAAATCCCAAGAGTTTTTGCAGGGCAGTGGTGAATAGATCTCCACCACTGTGTTGCTGCAGTATTTCCTTGGGCTGGTTGCTGTCAGGATAAACTCCTGGTGGCTTTAGCAGTGTTTGAGGCTGTTGTGTTTTCCTCGGCAGCTCGTGGAGCCCCTGACCCCGAGCGGCACGGCGCCCAACCAAGCACAACTCCGCATCCTGAAGGAGACAGAGCTGAAGAGAGTCAAGGTGCTGGGCTCTGGAGCCTTTGGAACGGTGTACAAGGTGAGAGGCTTCCCCAGGCAGCCCTGAGTCCCCTCTTTTAACCCTGCAGCAGTCAAGTTCTGCCTTGTAGCAAAGCAGCCTGTCCCGTGGCTGGGTTCTGAGCCCTGGCAGAGAGAGGATGCTGGAACTGCCTGCAGGGAATGCATCCCCAGGATCAAATGGTGACATGCAGATGCTATTTTTTTGGTGCCCCCCAGCCATTTTTATGTGCAAGAGGGCTACACAGGCTGGACTGTCCTGCTGGCAAGGTGCAGCACCAGGGTTTGCCCTTCTGTTCTTACACAAGAGCAGGACGCTTTTGGAAAGATGGATAAAATCTGTCTTTCATTTCACAAATGCCACATGGGTCTTGCCACAGTAATAATAACTGGTAAAACAATGGCATTACCTAAACTGTAATACTTCTAGTTTCTTCCATTGAAATAGAAAAGATGAGTTATGTCACTCTTTAACAGCTGGGATGTGAGAGTGGAACCCACAATGGAGAAAGTACTTCTGTTAAAAAAGTATTTCTTTTTTAAGATCTGTTGGACACATCCAGATCTCAGAGCCCATGAAGCAGGGCTTAGTGGGAAAATCAAACCAATTCCCTAACCCTCCAAATCTACCAAATCAAGGTGGTAGATCAGGGCACCTGCATCTGTCCTCAAAGAAGGGAAGAAAGGAAGGAAGCACAGACCAGGTCATGGGAGTAGATTTATGAATAAAGAGTTTGAATATACTTAGATGATAATAAAGTGATAGAGATGGATGCCATGAGGTTGACAAGAACACAGCAATAGTCAAGAATGATGGAAAAGTAGCCCAAGACCCTGATAGTTTGTGAATTTTAATGTTAAATTTCCTTTTCAGACACCTAAGTTTTTTGATTCTCAGGTATCAAGTAATTAGACAAACAGTCCCTAAATGTTTCACTCTAATTATATTATTCTCAGGGTGTTCTGTTCTTGCATGATTTTATAATCTGGTGATAATCAGTTACTGATAGCAAAAAATTTGAGCATCAGAATCCAGACAGAAAATCCTGATTTTTGTTTAATTATATCCAAATCAGTATCAGGATTTTATCTGAGTCACTAGAAAATGTGCATCCATTGCTCTTTAGAAACCCTGCTTTGGACAAGAAAATGGGATGTTCACTGATACAAAATGTTTCATTTTAGATCAGAGTTTAGTTTTGATGTAAGAAGTAGTTTTATGTGTTTTTTGTTGGTTTTTTTTTTGGTAACTTTGTGTATTCTCAGTTCTGCATCTCACGACTGATCTGCATAACATGTCAGAATGTGTCAAAAAGAACTGTAACTCTGAAACAAGTTTTTTTCTGATTGTTGTCTTGCTAGATACCTCTGTCACCTTTTTTTTTGTTTGTTTCTTTTTCTAGGGAATCTGGGTCCCTGAGGGAGAAACAGTAAAGATTCCTGTGGCCATTAAGATCCTTAATGAGACCACTGGTCCGAAAGCCAACGTGGAGTTTATGGATGTAAGTAAGACACTAGCAGCATCTCTGGGTTTTGGCAGGGCTGGTGTCTTTCTCTAGCCCACAGAGGTTGTAAAGACAAATTCCTGCCACTTTTCTTTCCTTATATTTAAATAGCAGAAGGAATCTTGTACACAGCACCTGGCAGGGCTGGGTTTTCCACTGCATGTGCCCCAAGATACTTGGAGTTTTCTGATAAATTGTTTTTCTGTCAGTATAAGACTAAAACTCCTGTGTCTGATGGGCCAGATGCTGTATCTTTCTTTGGAAGAAAAGTCATGGAAGACAGAGGAGGAGTTTCAGGGGAGCATCTTAGCATGCATGCAGGTCTGTATTGGTGTAGAGCTCACAGGAACAGAAATTCATCTCAGTTCTCCCCCACTTTGGAGTTCCAAGAGTCTGGGAGCCAGCAGCAGCAGTAAAACAGAACAGGTAGAGGAGGAAAATAAAAATATGCTGGATTTAAAAGCCCTTTTTCTTTACTAACCTGAAATACTATGAATAAGAGGTCAAGGTGGTAATTTCCATGAATCTTCTATGACCACAGAGGCTTTGCACTCAGTTTGCAGCTCTGTGTCAAGATCAAGGCTTAGTGACACCATGAATCTCTGTCTTTTTCTAAACCCCTCTTGTGAGCTTGAAAATTGCATGTGACTTTTAAGCCTTGCCTATCTGTTGAGTGTATAGGCCTAATTTGTTAGCATTAATGAGACTGTAAGGCACAAGGAGAAGGTTGCTCCCATTATCTAGTCTATTCTTTTACCTAGAAGTGAACAGAAATGTGCAGTTATGGATTTATGTGTTCCAGACAGCTGCTTCATGTGTGAGTTCTTAGGTGGTAGAAGGAAGGCTGTGTAGAGGAAGGGATTTCCTGTGCTTTTTACAGAGCACTGCACATTTATGTCAGATCATTTCCAACCTTGATGATTCTTTCTGTGGTTCCATTGAATTCACTAATCATTTTGCTCAAATAATAAATAAAAAAGGCAGTTTGGGCACTGTTTAGAAGGATTTAACTGCTCTAAAGGGAGAAAAAGTATTAGATATTTTTGCTTAATGGAAAAAGAGTCTTGCTAATAATTGAGCTGCCCAAAAAGGAGAGGTAGGATCCGGTGACCTGGATGTCAGTGGTCAGTCAGTGATACAGATTCCAGCCTAAAGGTGAGGGAATTGTTATCACTGTATGAAAGTCAGTGAAACTGAGCAATTTGTACCAGATCAGGGTCTGACCCCTGACCTGAGAGAGAAATAGCAGCAATATCTCCTCCTCTGATACTGATTAACCTTGAAGCAAAGAAAACATAAGGTCCTTGGTAAAAGGCAAAGTTGTTTGTCTAAGGTTTCAAAGCTCAGCTTAGGTCAGTTTGGTTCATTGGGCCATCCTTCCCCACAGTGTTTGCATCAGAATATCTGATAAATGGCTCAGAAATGAAGAGGCTTTTTGGAACTCTGGAGATTTTTGACTGTACAGTTAGAGTGGGAAAGGTTTTTCTTTAAATGAATAGTTTCTCCTGAGTCTCTGACCCAGTGGTAGCGAGATGAGAGAAAAGTTAAAGTTGTTTTCAGTTCTTGAGGTTAAAAATTACCCTTAGGTTGTTTTTAATCATAATAAAAATTAATTAGACTTCATCATTAGTTGATACAAGTGGCAATAAGGAGAAAAAATATGCCTTCTATCAGTGCTGCTTTTGATATATATGCAGTGATTTGTTATCCTTTTCCATACTGCATTGATGAAAATGATTACATTTAATTCTTGTGAAACAATTGCTCATCCAATGACACAGAGATCCTTGCTATCCCTATCTCCTAAACCACTTGTTTAGTTCCTGAAACAATACATTTTCAAAGAGAATGACCTAAGCATTATTTATGGTTTTAATGAAACTACTCCTCCCTGTCCCAAAACAGACATGGTTTTAAACATTTAAAAAATTTAAGCCAACATTTAAATTATGAGGAGATAACCTAAATATCTTTCACTGAAATGCAAGTTAGAGTAAAAAAAAAAATGTGTTTTACTCCTTCTCACTTCAAGACTTCAGGCAGTATAGCTATCCTGATAAAACTGGATACTGTTTGCTGATCTTATTTTATGAGGAAATATTCAAATGTTCATCTGAAAGCAAAACATATGAATAATGGTTGTTGGTTTAAAGCACTTGGGTGAGATTTTTAAAGGTATCTAGGTAGTTGAATGCCACTGTGAACATGGTGGGGTTAATTCTTTCTTCAGTAGGGGTCTGACAATGTTGGTAGTGAATGGGAAGAGGAGGTTAGTGGGAAGGTGTCATTATATGAGTCACACCCTTGGCTTTCATTTTTTTTTTGTCCTTGTCAAGTACAAGCGTGCTTTTGTCAGCAATTACTCCTTCCTGGATTGGGAGAGTCCTTGTGCTTGTAAGTAAAAGTTAGCATTCCTTTGAGAAAATGGAAAATGGAAAGCCTTTGGCAAACAGTTTTTTGTGTGCAGAGGGAGTGCTTGGGACACTTCAGTGTCCCCAGAAATGGCTGGGGCAGATGTTAGTGGCACTGCCCATAGATCTGCTGAAAACTTCTAATGTTGGCAGAGTGTGACTCTAAAAGTGCTCTGTGAGCTCCTGAAATCCTGCTAAACCTAACTCTGAAGTAAAGAAAAACAATTTGGCTCCTGGGCTGTCATTTCAGCAGCCTGCAGCCCTGCTAATGGAGCAGTAATGACTATAATGATATAATGCCTGATGTCAGCCTTGCCTGCTCTGGCCAAGCACCTCCCATCAGGAGATGAATTGGCCATCATCCAAAAGCACAGCCCTTATTTGGGATTTTTCTTGAGGGAGCCACAGCAAAGTCTATTTTCCAGGCTTTCTCCACCCATTTCCAGCTAGCCCTTTCCCTTTGCTCCCTGTGTCCATCCCTACATTTTATCACTGCAGTAGATCTGTGTCTGCTGCAGCAATACAAACTGGAATCTGCAAAGTAACCTGGAGCAGGGCAGAGCCTGACTGCACAGAAATCCTTCTGTGGGTTTATTTTCACCACACACAGGTTGCTGTTAGTGATACACAAAATGTGGGTTCACCCTGTTTCCCACTTCTGGGTGTATGCTGTGTCTGGGATAATTCCTAAAGGGTTTCCCCCTCAGCATGGTTAATCTTAATTATTAATCTTAATCTGCAGGGCATAGTTTCTGCTCTGGCAGGTCACACTTGTGAAATAAGTCCCCAAAAAGGGGGCTGGAGTTGGAATTCAGAGTGCAAGTGCTCCTGCTCCTGCTGTGTCTGCAGGACACCAGCAGGAGGGAGCTCTGTCCTGCTCCTTACCCTCAGGCTGGTAACAGAATATATGATGGGCCTGAGCTTTAGGGAGGGAAGAGAATCTTGTAGAGAGGAAAAAAGGCAAATGTGCAGCTAAGAGGCTACTTGGTAGTAGAATGGGGACTTAAAATTTCGCTTGGGAAAACAATCTCACCTCCTCAGCCTCAATTTATGATTGTCTGGTAAATCAAGTAGCCATTGGCCTGGTCAGATGGTTTAACATCAACCCAGATACTCAGCTGACAATGTAATAAACTCTGAAGACATGCTGCAATTGGAGAGCACAGCAAACAGCCTTTGAGGCTGAAAACATGCACTTGAAACACTTTTCATGGAGAAATGGTCAGCTGAGGGCCTTTCCTCTAAGCTTGATGTTTTCAGGAAGTCAATCCTATGAGCTGTGGTTGTGTCCAGGATTTTGATCCACTCCCAAGTTTAATCTATCCTCTCCGAGTTTAAATGCTCCATTATCTGTTAGAATATAATTAGAGGCTGCAAGCACAAGTCAGCATACACAGAGTTCCTTGGGAGTCCCTGAGCTCATTGAGGTGAAGACAGTTTGACTGATGGTGGTCAGCTGATATTGGGCCAGGAGCTAATAATAGAAGGCAGCGCTGCTTAGCTAGGTGAGAAAGTTAACTTGGGAAAAATTAAACTGAAGGCTTTGGGATTTATGGCTGGAAATAAATTTCCCATTCTCATTTGTTTCCTAGTAAGAGAGCTTCAGAGGCAGTTGGTTTCTTTTATGGTTTTATAATTAAGATCTAGGGGCTTCCTGGCTCGGTCTGTGCTCGCTGCAGTTGCTGCTGTCTGCAGTGGCAGCACTTGGAGTGTGGGAGGACATTTGTCACGCCAAGTGCAGAGGTGGTAAGTGACAGTGACCTCCACCAGACATGTAGCAGGCAAATTAAAGCTCCATGTAGGGGACTGACACCCACATCTTTTATTTATGTCTGGCCTAATGAACTAAATGAATAAATCACTCAGATGTGCTGCAGAAACAGCTATTTCTAAATTGTACACTCGTCTTACAGTAAAGACAAGCCCTCAGCTTGAGGATATCAATATCAAACTTATCTTAAGTTCAGAGGATTGAACACAAAAAAAAAATTATGTAGCTGACTAGAGGATTCTTTCTCCTGCTCATCTGAAACCCCACAGAGATATGGGTAGGCCTGGATGCTTGCTTTGTTTCCTCAGGTATGTCCAGATGGAGATTCACACACACTGGAGATCCAGCTCGCTAGTCAGGTGGAAAAGGTGAGAGAAGACTTAGCCTTTCTTGGTTTCCACTCTTGGCTTTAGACACAGGAAGGTTCTAGGCTGAAGATTTTTGCTTCTTTGCTTGGCCCTTGGTGGCATTCGCAGAGCCCTTGAGACTCTGTGATACACAATTCCTCAGCTGACACAGGTGCATTTGCTCTCAGTCTCCTTGTAAGATCTTGCCTTATGTGACTTTGTGCCTGTCTGGAGAAACATTTTTTAATCTTTTTAATTCCCTGTACCCATCATGCTCCTGCCCAGCCCAGTGTTTGACCCAGGTCTTCAACAGAAGCAAGCAGAAGGTCTTCAACAGACCATGTAGATGCTTCTGAAAGTCGGAAAAGACACTAACAGTAGTTTGATCCAGACACTCCAGGCATTCCACTGACTGCCTGGCTGCTTGGGAAATACACCAGAGTTAATCCTGAACCTCAGTTGAAAGGG